CATTACGGATTAGATTCTCTTCCCTATCTCTCACTTGTATTCTTTCTACCCTATCTCTAACGTGTGTCTTTATTTTCATTCTTGGTTTGCTTCTCTTAGTCTTTATTTTCTTACTTTCTTACTCTCCCTAATCTTCCATTTTACTCTTTCCTTTAAGAGGTCAACACAATTGAATCATACTTCATTGATTGTCTTATGCAGTATATCCCTGGAATTTTTCCCCTCTTTTTGCCTAAAACCCTCCCCTTCATTCTCACTAGCTGGTTCTCTTGAAAATTATAAAAGACATGGTGTAATTGTAGAGAAGTGGACTTAGATAAATATCACTCTGAAGACATCACTTGTAATTGTAGAGAAGTGGACTTAGATAAATATCACTCTGAAGACATCACTTTGTCCAGTGTGGTCTCCTGTATGGCCAGAATGAGAAATAAAAAGAATTCTGCAGACCCAAATTGTGCTTCTCTTCTTGGACCTCAGCATCAGCCCCATCACGAACATCCTCTGTCCAAAACACTCTTGAAAAAGAGCTTGACAGATAAAAGCATTTCCTTTAAACATACTTCATTCCAAAAGGGAAAGAAAAGGAGATATTATACAAGCCTGGATATGTATCTGTCTCTCTTTTAAAGTGCTCTCTTTGCACAATCACCTGTATAGTAGCTGGAGTTTGTGGGAATGAGAATTACATGGCTTGCAGCAGGCTAGGAAAAGAACAGGATGGGATTCCTGACCTTGGTCTCAATTTCCAGAGACAGAGAGATATGAATTCAGTGCTTCCAGAGTCTAAAAGGGAAGTCTCTGTCATTTGCCAAATTCTTTCTGTCACAGAACCACTGTGTTGTGTTCTTCCTTCATGCTGTAGCTTGCAAGCTCCAAAATGCTTATGCCCAAGTTTGCTCTCTGTTCACTTTGACTAAGTCCTGCCATGAACACTCTGAAAGTCTGTGCCTGTGAGGACAAGAGTTTTTCTGACAGCCCTGATAAATGCAGCCATTATTGCCAAATGCCCTAATAAATTATATTCATCTTAATGTGTTTCAGACTGAGCTGGAATTTTTTCTTAATATTCCATTCTGCTGTGCTCCAGTCTATTCTAACTTCATAGAGCATGAATAATGAGGCATACTGGGGATAGAACCCATCACCAGATTGGAAAGATGTCTCTCTTTGTTTATCTCTGCCACACTCCCTGAAATGCATCCCTTTCTACTACATTCTCACGGTTCCCACACCATTCCCTAGACCAGGTTGTTCAAATCTTGGGAATGTAAGACCCCTTGAAGCACTAATGTAAAAAGCATTTTTCAGGAAACAGTTCTCTATTTTGTTTGCAGCAGCCACAAGACTACTGAAGCAATTTCTGTACCCAGAACACCACATGAATCTCTTGGTTCATGAGATATTTTCTCCTGTTTTGAAGTGTTTTGGGGAGATTAAAGGAGTGACAAGCACAGAGCAGGAAAAACAGCCCCACTTCACAGCATTATATTCACCTGTCCTCTAGCCCTTAGATAAAGCTTTTCTTCTTTAATGACATTACAAGAGATGGGACAGATTCCTCTCAAGTCTGTCATCAGATCCTTTTGAAACAAACACATTAAGTGTCAGGTGACTTTTAACCTATTCACCAAGGTTTTCTTCTTCACTACCACCACCACGTGAGTCTGGTGTCATCACCAGGGTAATCCCATGGAAGAACAGAGCAAAAGTAAAAGCAGCTCCCATGCCTCTCCCCAGACAGTGCCACTTCTCATCTGGCTGGAGTACTGATTCCTTCTCTGCCACCTTTGAATTCTGCAGCTGACTTGGCTCATAATCAGCCCCTGGTGAGGGCAAACCTCCAAAGGCTGCAGCCCTGCTCCGCTTGTTGGTACACGGTGTAAGTACTGGATAAGACTCTACTGTTCCCATAAAGAGTAAGTTATTTCTACAGGGATCGTCAGTGAATGATCTTTAATGAGAGTTGCTTATGGCACTATTCATCACTGAAAGTTGTGTGGTAAGACATCATTGCTACAGAGGATCAAATTTAAACACAACAAATCATGCTTTTTCAAGGGAAAGAAAGTGAAAACTTTATTCCTAAATCAAGGAGATGAGTTCTCAGCCTCTGAGCATTAAGAAGGTGCTAGTTTTAAAGGTATGTTACAATACCATATGGAAGTACAGGGAAAGCTCAGCAGTGATTACAACAAAGTGAAGAACAGGATGGCAACAGACAAGCACAAAATATTGTGTTCAGAAATTCTTAGAAGCAGAGATACTTTGCAATGGAAAGGTTGAGAAGGTGTCGTGTTCCTGCTGATGTGATGGCAAGGGCTCTTCATTTATTCTCTAGATAACTTGACACTATTCTGATTGAAAACAAAATGGAATAAAACCATAAGAACAATAAAATAATAATGACAGTGATAACAACAAGAAGCACCGAAGGACAGAAACAAACACAGGAATTGCTGGATGACCTTGCCCAAAGAGCTACCATCAATGGTTGAATGTTCAAGTGGTGACCGGTCACAAACCATTTCCCTCAGGGCTCTGCACTGGGACCAGAAGCCTTGTTCCAGCTTTCATCAGTGTGTCATTGATACTGGGCTCAAGTGCACCCTCAGCACGTTCACAGGTGACAGGAAGCTGTGTGGCCATTGATGTGTTTGAGGGAAGGGATGCCATCCAGAGGCACCTGGACAGACTGAGAGAGTGGGCCCCTGTGACCCCCACCAGCCGCCCCTGCAGTTCTGTGTCCAGCTCGGGGGGCCCAGCACAAGAAACACACGGATGTGGGAGAGCAGGCCCAGAGGAGCCCCCAAAAAACAATCACAGGGCTTCAGGGTATGAAGAAAGGCTCAGAGACAAACCCATCTTCACACTGGAGAAGAGAAGCCTCTGGAGAGGCCTGCCTGAGGCCTTTCAATACATGGCAGGGGGGACTTAGAAGAAAAACAGAGATGTTTTACCAAGGCCTTGCTGGGTGTATCTTGCAGCCACAGGAAAAACTTACTACTAAAATACATTTCCTGGCAGTTAGTTCAATTCATCCCATTTGCACAGATTCATTCCCACTGTTCTTTGTAAATCTCTGCAAACGATTGATCAGATTTATGCCCTACGTCGCCTCCAAAACCCTGCTTATGACTTTCACTGCAGGCACAAGCCGTTTTACAGTGGCTACACAAATGCATGATATATCTGATATTTCCCTTATTTCCTTTCTGGGCAACTTGTCCTTAATTCTCATCTTTTCCATGTGCTCAGAGAGGATTGTGAGAAGGGATTCCTCTGCTAGATAGCATTGATTTTATTTGAGTTCTAGAAAGACAGCAATAGAAAACCCATCACTTGTGATTTTTCAAGCAGGACTGCACAAAGCCTGGCAGAGCACCTGCAGAACAGCCACACCTCTGAGAACAGGTTTAGTCTGCATGCACTGATCCTTGACTAGTGAGTAAGCCCAGCCTTCCAGGGGCACCTGGACTTACCTTGGCTGTCCACACCAGACCACTCACCAAAACTGCATAGACCAAGGCTTTGCCACAGAGGATGAGGTAAGTGAGCTTCAGAGAATTTCCATACCGCAAGTACGACTCTGCAAGTCAAACACCATTTCTGTATTCAATCTGCATCATCATCATCATCATCATCATCACCACCACCACCACCACCATGAGATGCTGGTTCTAATGGAGCTGTCATCAAATGAGAACCCTTGAAATCTTTAGCTAAGACACAGAAAGGAACTAGAGCCAAATGAGTGGCTCAGTTGACACCAGGAAACACGGAATGTGACAGACCATAGTGACTCAAAGAACCAAAAGAGAAAGCAAGTCTAGGAAAGAAAGAGATTGCCTTCATGCCAGGAAAGTGCTGAGTTGCCATATCTACTGATGAACTGGGCTGTTCATCCAAATCTCCTGTTAGGAATGCAGAATAGGCTGAATCACAAGATGCACATTTTTTATTTTGTCTCATTATTGTCAGTGGCCTTACAAGTGCTGCTGATGTATCAGGAAAGTCAGAATAACATGGCTTCTACAAGTTTTATTCTTGTAGATTTTTCACTCTTAAGGGGTGGTCATAGTACTGAGATACCAGCTCTGTCTTGGCTCAGCCTTAAGATTCCACAAGCATTAAAGATGTTGTTGAAAAACAAGAGTGTGCAAATATGTATACAAAGAGAAAAGAAATGTAATTTTTAATATGGGTATCCTCCACATATGACAGCAGTGTAGAAGGGAATGTGACTCGGGAAGGGAAACTTGACACTAAGAAATATCATATCCTGAACCCTGATGACAGAATCACTTGGATAAGTATGGATCATTTCTTTCCTGGCTGAGCAAGAATATTCCCATTGGAGGTCAGTTTCTAAGACTGGAGGAAATGATAAAGAATAAGTTCTAATCTACAGGAAGGTACCATGATTTCTTCTATTTTCAAAATGGAATCATATGGGAGAGCGAAAGTCCAAAGCAGAGCTACATATAACATGCACAAAGAACCCTCCAAAAAATTTCTCTTCCTTTTTTGCTTTTTCATTTTTAATATCACATACAAATCACTTAGATGAGAAAGAAGAAGCTATTCATACAGGAGATATCTCCCACACGTTGTGCTTAGTGTCAGTAAAGCTGGAATTAAAATACACACAGAAAATTGCCTGAGAGTAGAGGCAAAATTCTCCTTATGTGAGAAGCCACACGTACCTTCTGTGAGTGCACAACCTGGAAGACAAAAGTGAACACAAAGTCATGTTTCTCTTCAAGGGAAACAGAATACAGATTTTAGAAGTCTCAGTTTACAAAACACTGCCTAATGCATATTACTACATTAGCTATTTTTTTGGTACTGTGCAATTTACGCTACTACAGAGATTTCTCAGTGGAAAGCCTGAAGAAACTCTAGATGGGTAATGGTAATGTAGGTGCAGAGGTCCAGGAATGGGAAGAGACATATGCTAATAGCAACCATAGTATTTGTATGTAGGCATGTATTTGTGCCAGAAGAAGGCCCTGTATGGAAGATATATCTAGATTCATATCATAGCACATGCTCTTTTGATTTGTGATTTCTGTCTTATACAGCACGGTGAGAGATGTTTTTTACTCACCAGCATCACCATAGATAAATTTGTTTATTGATTGCGTTGTTCCATTGTAAAAAAAATCGGCAACACACTCAAAGCGATTCAAAGGGTTGAACCATTCCCAGGCTGGCATCCTCAGTCGGCTGGTCAGTGAGTAGGTGCTCCCATTCCGTGTGGAGGACTCATCTGTCCCCACCCCCTCGGTCCTTCTCATACCATTCACCCTCCAGGTCAGAGTCAGGTGGTCAGGGTAGAAGCCAGAGGCCAGGCACACCAGTGTGGCCTTGCTCTTCTGCTGGATCTCCTGCTTTGATGGGGAAAAGATGGCCACAGCTGGAGGTAGGATTTCATCATCCTTCCCTGAAACACAAAGCAACACTGCTCCATCACTCTGTTCTATCACAACCCCCTGAAAGGGCTCCTGAGATTGTGCCGTGTTACTCCTGAAATCCCTGGCCTTTTAACAGCTGAACAATTAATGTCTCTTGGATATGACACACCAGGAAAGTGGAAGCATTTGTTCCCACTTGTTACACAGAAACACAGAAAGGTCTGCCCACAGAAATGCACAAGCACATGAATTTCTTGTATTGCCTCTGGCTGAAGAACACAAAGCTGCAACGAAGCTGATGAGCAAACTGGCGGTCTGCAATGTTCCCCAGTTTTGCTGTAAAGTCTGTAGTTGTAATATTGTATTAATAGATAAGGCACAAACATCTTCAACAAACTGAATTACATTCAGAGATGTACATCTGCATGACATGGAGATGGAGTTAAGGCACCATGGTCATTGCAGTGTTCAGAATTATACTCTCATGGGGCACCCTACTTGGCTCCCTATGGAAGAGAAGACCTGCAGGGAAGCAAGGAAGGAGCTGATCCTTCTCACAGTCTGAAGAACACTTGAGACGGGTAACATGAATCTGCCAGGGACAGGTTTTGCCTTGTGCCTTAACCTATCCATCTTTAAGAACATTAAACATGTCTTTATGTAATTTAATGTTTAGGTTATTGTAGCTGTGAGAAGCTCTGAGCCTAGGCTATACACCTTCCCAAAATGATGCAAGGTTCTATACACTCACAAATCAAAGGTTGTTCCCTGTCCTAAAGTGTTTAATACCTGCTTGTAAGACCAATGAGAACAGACTTCAGTCAAAAGGATGCACAAGGCAGCCATGAGAAGTTACTCAGAAGCCAGGCAGTGACCCCAAAAGCCAGGGAGTTTTCCATACACTATACTAGAGTCCCTTTTTTACTCATCTAGCATGAGAAACCCGTGGGATCTGTAGAGTGCTGCTGGAAAAAGAAATGCACAGAAAAGTATGAAGCCAAAGAGAAAATTATTACTTTGGGTTGTTTTTTTATATATGAAGGCACTATGAATTGGAGGTGTTTCTCCTTGTCACTGTTGGACACGATGTAGAAGCGTGGATTCATTCACAGCACACACACCAGAACGAGTTGCTAGGAATTGCATTTATTCCCTGAACTTTTCAGCTTTTTATAGGGTCTTACGCTGCAGGTTTAACATTATTTGGAAAGGGAACACCACCTCTTATCCCATTGGTGGGATAAGAGAAAACACACTATCTGCAGTTGTACAGAACTGTTTTGAGAAAGTGAAATTGTTTACAGAGGTAGACCTTGAATGAGAGAGCTCTCAAGAGACTTTCCCTTGGGAACAGACCAGCCACTGACAGGCTGTAATTCTCTCAGGCTCAGTTAAATCAGGTCCACAGTTCCTGATCACTCTCTCCTTTGCAGAGGAAGACAGGCAGCAGAATTAATAGAAATTAATATCTTGCAGAGATCTTTTCCCCTAAGCCCTCATGTTTGCATTGAAATGATGCCTTAATTGTGACCAGCAGTGGTTGGTCTGCAAAGATCCCTGGGCTGCTTTTGTGTGAGCTTGTACAGACTTCAGGTGACCTGGGTATTAAATAGAGATATTTAGCCCTCTATCCCTAGAGGGTTTAGCACTACTCTGCTTTCCTTTTAATGGGTATGTAGAGAGGTTGACTGATTCTACTTCTCCCTTCTACCACTACATGTTACAATTTTTTTTCCTATCCTAAGAGTATCTCTGAAAAATTCTTTGGCTTATAGCTTAAAAACCTAATGAGTGAAGAGATGGAAGCAGATAGGAAAACAAAAGAAGAGAAAGAAATTTAATAGACTAAGGAAAGAAAGAAACAAGCAACAAAAAAGAGGATGGTAGGAGATAAAGGGAGACAGAAATAAATAATGATAAAACTGCTGAATCTACTAGAAGGACAAAGAAAACCAGAAGCATGCTTGAAATGGAGTAAAGGGATTGGTAACAGCACAAACTGGAAAAAAAAAGTCTGATCAGCAGCCCATTGTGTTCTGGTCTTCCACACTGCACATGGTAGACACTGACACAAAGTTCAATCATTTCCATGCATAAACTCATGCATTCTCTGTCACACAGACTTCACCCACCTGAGAGTAATAGTACCACAGTTCCTCTATTCCCATCAAGGCAAGGTCACTTTCATCATTTCTTGTTATCTTTCACTCCTAGTTCCATTTTAAAATCATCTGTGTATATGCTACATATCATTAACACAAGGGAAATTTTTGAGTGTCCTCTACATTGAGCGGTGGGGTTAACAACAGCTCCTTACCTATAACTCTGAGCACAGTGCCAACTCCAAAGTTAAGCTGCTGGTTTGCACAGCTGTACAAAGTCAGGCTGTAACCCCCAGTGTCATTATGCTCTTCCTGCCAGCCACATAGTTCCTTAAAATGGTACTGTTTAAAGGAGCAGATACCAGTATTTCTAATTTGCTATCAAATGGGGCAGTAGCAGAGGGAAAAGTTGTTTTGTCCTGTTATTCCAACATGCCCTGATATAGGTGATGTTAAATCCTTTGCTGGGATGGGAGAAAACAGAGAAAGAAAATGGGGAAAAGGAAAAGAATAGCAGAAAAAAGTATGCTTTTACTTTTATATAATAAAATATATATATAAATAATGCAGTCCTTGCTGAGCAGTAGACATTGTGAGAAGGACTGTTAGCAGTAGCCAGCATCCCAAAGCAACTTTAGACAGCCTGCTAACCATTTATGGAGAGGCAAGCAAAGTGCCAGCAAGATTACTCTTTCCTTCCATGATTCAGCACACAGGATAATCCAGACTCTACCTACGAAGTGCTGCCTTAGATCATTACACAGATGAACTGCAAGCACCTGCAGAGAAGAGAAGCATTTTTCATTCCCAATCTCCCAAGAATATAATATTTTCTTGGAGAATGGGTGAAAATAAAAGTATTTATTCCCTTCTCCCTTCATGAAGTTCCCAGAATTGAAAGACAAAGACACAAGGACCTCAACACTGTAATTCCTACACTTCCATAATGGCACATCTCATTTTAATAAGCAACCAATAAAGCATTAATACTGTTCTCATTGCTGCATGAAAAATTATCATTATTAAGCTTTTAATTAAGAATGTTCTTGTCCCCATAACCAGTATCACATAGATCACAGAGATCTGACTTCTTACTTACCTATGACTGTAAGTTTTGTCCCACTGCCAAAGAACAGTCTATCATTATTCACACTGTTTTGCAGCTGCAGAAAAACCTCTCCTCTACTCCCAGATCTCTGAGCCAAGCCTGTGGGCTAACCCTCCCCTCATGTGGAGAGCAAAAGAAGAGACACAGAGTACATTTATCTCAGGTCTCCTAGAAAACAAGTTTGTAAGGGAACAGCCCCAAATCTGTGTGTCTAAATAGCTGAGATCAACGTCAGAAATGCCCTGTCCAAGCCCTTTTGCTTCAGGCTCAATCAGTTGTTGGAGCTTCTACCATTTCTTTAGAGGATATTTATCTATTGATCTAGGTGTCATATTAGAATATTAGAAAATATTTCCTAAATGCCAACATTCCCTGTGATCTCTTTCCATTTTGAAATCAATTATATATTATTCTTTTGTGGTTTTCAGTGGCTATTTAGTGCCTATTCTGAAATAGTAAGACTGTTGTCCTTTGTGACCTTTGTGACCTTTGTATCACCATCCTGGTGAGCCTGTTCAGTGGAAAGACTGGCTGTGCTGTGGAGAGCTACTTTCTACAACAAAAAGGACTTAAACAGCTGCAGAGAGATTTTAGTGTTGCTTATGATATCGTTGAGTATTTATTAGCCTTTTTTTTAATAATTAAAAATGCTAGTACACTTTTTTTCCCAGTTATCTGAGATAACATATTCTTTAATTCACCCTGGGAAGATCCAAGGAAATTTAAGCTTGTATCATCTTGATTTTGTTTCATAGACCCCTTCAAGGCTTGTCAGTTCTTTCCAGACAGATAGACAGCCTTTCACTGACTTGTCCTTCATCATTTCTAGCCCCAGGAGAACCAGCATAATACAGACTAGATATACTTTAGGGGAATTTCTGCATGTGTCAATTCATTAGGACAACTTTTTTTTAATGTCATGCACACATTATTTATCCCATTCCTTATCCTAATTCTTTCTGTGGACAGCTTTTACTTAAGTAAAAATGCATTTATTCAGTTCCTCAAATGAAAGGTGTGTTCTTGCCAAGACTACTAAACTTATTCTCCAAAGTGGACTGGATTACCAGCACAGCTGGAGAACACCAGTTTAATAATAAAGTGGAGGATAATAAAGATGATGCTCTCTACAGAGAAGACATTGCATTTGAAGTGAATTAAAAGAGGAAAAAAAATATCTTACCCATTACTGTAAGTTTTGTGCCACTGCCGAAAATCATATCTGCACTTT